TGTGTTGGCTTTGAAAGCAAGAAGAACATGTCGATGGAGGGAAACCAGGCTTGCTGCTTTCCTTCTAACCATGCTCAGGAAGCCAGGTATACTAAGGTCTGAATGTTACTGAAAACATTCTTCTCCCCATTTTTTTTTTCATTTTTGCACATTTTGATCCTCTCACGTATTTAAACATGTGCATGGTTTCATTCACTTTCATCTTCAGATATTGTCTTTAAAGAGCGGAGATGTGCAGCTTCTCAAAGACAAGGTGCATTTCTTCTCACAATGCATCTCAAGAGGTTAGAAATTACCAAATCCCTCAAAATTCTTTTCCTTGCCAGATGTAGACAGGAAGCTATCATTTCTATTCATGTTACCTCCTATAGTAGGTTAGGACTCTGTTGACGTGGTGTTGTCCTGATTGCCAATTATTTTTTATCCATTTCCAAGCATGTCAAAAGGAATGAGGGCTAACTGCCATCATCACTTGGCCTCACCTGCTGATGTTTTTGTCGTGTTTCTATTCTGGAGTATTTAAAAGTCCAGTTCTTCAGTGTCATGGTGTTTTCTTTTTTCAAATGCAAGAATTTGGAAAATAGTTTTTTGTAATTTAACCTTTAATTCAGTTCTTCCAAAAAGGCCCAATGTATTAATGTGGGTTATTGTGCTTTTTGATGCCAATATTCAAAATTGCAGGAAATGGCCCAATGTTGCTGCATAACATTGTGCCTGCATTGCCAGCAGTGGGGTGGGGAAGGCAGGCTTTACACAGCAAAGGGCAGCATGAATGTTGAGAACACCAATGGCAGCAGTGAAGATGGCCTATAGGATACCTCCTTGTACTCATTACCATTCACAAAATGACACCAAGCAAGGGGAAATCCCATAAGCTGACTCCATTTTTTTAATCAGTTAACCACTTATCATCAAAACACAAAGCAACGGTCAAGGCTGTTTTGTTTTTGTTTGTTTGTTTTTGGGTTTTTTGACAACTGTAAATAGTAGCTTCTATGCTTTATTGTGTGGTTGGCTGAAGGCTTTGCATTTACCTTAGCAGACCAAACTTTCTTCCCTGCCTGGTAGACACACTTTCTCAGTTTAAAAAATGACCTGTAGCAGGGAAGGCAGGGTGATGAGCTACATCTTTTGGCATAGCATCCTTTTCTCTTGGAAAGCAAGAGTCTTATGTCCCAACAACCCCAATTGGAACATGGTGCCATTTGTGTCATTTTTCATTGGGAAAGCCCTTCTAAACTTGGTCCCAGGGCACTCCTCAGAAAAAGAGAATGGTAAACCACTTCTGAGTACTCTATATGTAGAAAAATCTGGAAATGCTGCTTCTGGGCCTGTACTGGAGAAGATTATAATTTCCCATTAAGCAAATAATAGCAATCCAGTTTTCTCAGATGTTTTCAAGTCTTAGCTTGAAAGGAATAGCAAGAGTCTTATGTCCCAACAACCCCAATTGGAACATGGTGCCATTTGTGTCATTTTTCATTGGGAAAGCCCTTCTAAACTTGGTCCCAGGGCACCTCTCAGAAAAAGAGAATGGTAAACCACTTCTGAGTACTCTATATCTAGAAAAATCTGGAAATGCTTCTTCTGGGCCTGTACTGGAGAAGAGTATAATTTCCCATTAAGCAAATAATACCAATCCAGTTTTCTCAAATGTTTTCAAGAGTCTTAGCTTGAAAGGAAATGGGAAATTGTGCAGATATTGTGTAAACCTCATTGGTCACATGGTCTGAAATCAGATAGGTTTGCGGTCCTGGTTTATAATGGTATATATTGGACAAATTCATGTTCCAAGTTGCTGGTTTGTGATTTCATCCTTATCATGAATAGTTAGTGTAACATTCAGTGGAGATAGTGAACAATTCTAGAACTACATTGCCTCATAAATAATCACTGTTCATACAGTTAAAATCAGGAGGAAAAAAGGTCACAGAATTAAAAAAAATAGTAATAGATGTTCTGTCAAAGAGGCACTTGTGCAATTAAGGTGACGTAATATTTTCATCAGTCCTAAGAACTTTTTCTAATATGTATTTTGACTTTTATTGCAAGTCAGGGATTTTAATCAGTTAATCAATGTAATACATTTTTGCAGAAGTACTCTTGACATTAGCTTAGTTACTGAAGTGTATAAACAGAGATGTGCTATTTTTCTTGTGATGTCAACTGCTCGTGTAGAGATGTACAGCTAAATATAGTAGGCTTCACTGCTTTCACCTAAAATGTATACAGTAGTATGCAAAAAAAGATTTCTTAAATTCTGGAGGTGCTATTATTTATTTTGTGGCCTGATCATAAGGAGATGTGAAAAAGAATGTCTGTGGTTTTAAAATTCTCACCAGAATTATCTAGTTGGTACCTCCTGAGATACCTTGCAAGATATAAGCCATTTTGCCTAACAAATCTATACATTTGGTAACATTGTACATTTCTTTTTTGCAAAATTGTCATACTGTATTTACAAATGTTACAATCAAAAGGAAATCCAGTATATATTCACAAAGTGTATAAATACGTAGGTATATTCCCAAAAGGTATATGAATTTCTAAGCAGGAAAGGGGTCTCATAATATGGTATAATTGAAGGATGGGGGGAAATGCAGCTACAAAATCAAGACTAAAAAATTGTGGGTTTGTTGTTGTTGTTGTTGTTGTTGTTTACATATTTAATCACAAGGTAGGCATCCTTCAGTCTCAAGAGACTATGGTAACATGCTCTGAATAGAGGTCTTGGAACAGCGTCTAGTGTGGCTGAGGAGGCCAATTTGAGAGTGACAGTACTTTCCACTTTGAAGAAAAATACAATCTGTCCCCTGCCCAGCTCCCTGATTTTGTTGGTTTTGAGACTGCCTCTTTGCCTCAGCCTGCTGGACAAGTGCCTCTTCAAAATGCACCGCCTGCCTCCAGGCTGAATGCTCAGATGTCAAGGTTTTTGAGCAACAAAAAACAAAATATATAAATAACATGGGGTTCAATTATCTTAGAGGACTGAAACGCAGCAACAAATTTAGCAACTGCTACAGAGAAGTAAAGACTTTTATCTTCTAATATTATAGGGGAAAACATTTTTATAATAGGAAAAAATGTACATAATAGAACTTCTTTAAAACTCAGAATTCTAACACATAACTGACCTTTATTAATTTCCTGAAGTTAACAATTTAATATGTTTTTTATTCAATTTAATATTTTGATTACTAAGGAGTTAAACTGTTCTCAGAATCTGAGCAAAAGAGCTGAGACTTTTCTCCTTTAAGAGAGAACGGGATCTGCAGTTTTAAATTTTGAAATTCTGTTTGTGTGAATATGTGTGTTTCCTCCTGCCTAGGACTATGTGTGATAACGATGGATTGCATCTTTTCTATGACAAATTGTCACTTAATTAGCAAGATAATGATTTGAAATTGGCTTTACTTTCTCTATCCACTTTATGCTCATGATAATAAATCCAGGTATTAGTCATCAACAGAGAAACCTCTTGGCTATTAGCATATTTATTATTTGGGCAAAATAATAAATTTTGCATAACTTTATGCTAGCTTAACCTGGAATGGGCCCTGGAAGCATTTAATTTAAAATAATTAAAAGCTGCTGCTGCTGCTGCTGCTGCTGCTGCTTCTTCTTCTTCTTCTTCTTCTTCTTCTCTCTCTTTTTTTTTTCTTTAAGGTTTTGAGGCTTCTTAGGGCTCTCTTTTGTCCTAAGGAAGTCTTTGGGAGCCTTGAGATGTAGAAGAAAGTAAACATTTGCTGCCAGATGGTCACTCCTGGGATTGGGATTGCCAAGTATTTTTCTACTGGTTTCTTTACTATGAAAGGCTCCCCAATCCCCATCCCAAGGCTCCCAAAGGCCTCTCCAGGCCAGCAGGGAGTCCTAGGGAACCTCAGAGCTAGAGGGAGATGAAGCTTTTAATTACTTTAAAGTAAATTATTTCGGGGCCCTATCCAAGTTACACTGGGCAAAGTGACGTGAGCAGGATTTTATCCTTTAGGCGCAGTGTGTATTCTTTAGATGTGATGTGTTTGCTTGGGGTTTTTTAAACTGATGTAACTATTTTGTGAGTTTTGTGTTTATGTTTTAACCATTTTTTTTTGTTGGATGATGAATGATCATGGATCATACAGTTCTAAGGCTCCTAGCCGTCCAACCACATGTAAAGTCATTGTAAAAACAAATTAAACTAGCATAAATAAATACAGCCACAAAAGTATTGGCAAATCTTCCATTGGGGGAGATTACATATCCTTGAGCAGATTGCCATATACATAGAGCAAAAGCTCTAGAGCATAGTCTTGAGGGTTGTTGGAGTCATGAAATGAGAAGGCTGATAGGCTTTGTGATGATCACCAGATAATTAGGATAGCAAATAGTATCTTAGACATAGAAGTTAAAGAAGTAAGCCACACACAGAGATGTCTGTCAGCAGTGCTCCTTGTGGGCGACTAGTAGAAGAGGCAGAATAACACCAAATGGGTTCCCAATGAATTCTGCCCTGCCCCCAGGAGGACTGTGCTTTTATTAACCTTACAAGCTCACAGAGAGTGGACAGTATACAGATAGGTTACAGAGTTCAAATAGGACAATGGTTATATCATGCTGTTATAATTGGCCTAAGGAAAGGCTCTATGCAAGCTCTCTAGCACCTATAAGAAAAAAGGAGAATGGTGGGCAGTCATGCCCCTCAGAAGCAGCCGTGACGTCATCCAGGAGGGTTTGCCCTCTACTGTAGATTGAGCCAACAGCTTAGCAACCTTGGGAATGGCATCCCCACAGAGGGTATATGATACATCAGTTTTGCTTGAACTAAATGGGTCTCTCGTCACAAACTCAATTTCTTAAAAGCTGGCTTAGCTAAGTTAGTACATTGAGATTCAGCTGCTAAAGGGGAGCAGAGAGCACTGGTGGCTGCTTGTGGGCTTTTTCACTCTGCAGTATTTATTTTATACTTCTTTCTGTTTCTGTACATAATGCCAATTGCCATTTGCTTTCTTATTTGTTTTTAGGAGTTCTCTGGAATCTGTCCTCTTGTGATGCACTGAAAATGCCAATTATCCAGGATGCCCTTGCAGTGTTGACCAATGCAGTGATCATTCCTCATTCAGGATGGGAAAACTCCCCACTCCAGGATGACCACAAAATACAGCTTCATTCATCACAGGTGCTGCGCAATGCCACTGGGTGCCTAAGGTGAGTTCTTATGGCTTAAACTGTATATATGTTCAGATCTAGAAGAGCCTTTTTACCCCAGCATCTGAGAAACATCCCATTAGAATTTATTTTCAAACAGCATTGTTGCCTCAGCGCACAATGTTTTCATATATATCTGTCCTTTAATACTGTTGCTCCATGTCAAGTGTTGAGAGGTACTCTTGACCAATATCTATAAAATATATTATTGGTCTCCTTATATGGTGAGACCATGCAGTTTGAGACTTAGAAAATGTGCCCCACTATCCTTGTTGAGCAGCCCATCCAGGATTTAAAAATCATCCTTTTTTCCCTGCCTACCTGTCTGACATTCCAAAATATCACAGGTTCCCAATAGACTGCAGTCACTAGCTGCAAGCATTATTCTGTTTTGTCTTGGTGAGCTATTGGTTCTGCTAACTTATCTAACAGTTCTTTTAGAACTTATTACTAGAGATTGGGGTATTCGTATATGAATATCCCCGCACAGGTGGAAATAACGAGGGTCCGGCCCCATGGGGCTGGTCTGTCCACTCATGATTTCATCGCTGACACGAGCTCGTCAGACCTTCCTATCACACCATTCACATGGAAGATATTTTTGAGCAATACAGAATTGTTATCCTGGTTTTCACATATGCAAACACATAACTAGTTAATATAGTGCCTAGTTTACAAATGTAACTCAGGAATCAGTAGTTCCTTTCTTGTATGTCAACTTGTAACATAAATTAATAATAATAATTACATAACAGTAGTAATTGTTAAGAATATACATTATCCTCTAGTTTTTCCATTATCATGAACAGTGTTGGAGCACTCCAGTTTTTCCATTTTCTTCAGTAGCCCCTGAGCACTCAGTCCTGTTGCATGTTTAGAGTCTTCAGTATGTGTAGGCCTAACCAGTGTCTTCATGGAAAACCAGAGTGTTTGAATTTTCCAAAAGAAAATTTAGAAATAAAAATGAATAAATAAATATGGCTATCAAGAACTAGCATCTTCAGCTGACAGCTCATTACGCAAACAGACATTAAGATTAACTTTTCTTATTTTGAATATTTTTGTAAGAGAAACTAAGCTCTCTTTGGGGGAAAAAGAAATATGGATGTTGCACTTCACTGCATAATTTTATTGACCAGCATCCTATTGGGGATTTCTGTGCACAGCTCACATTGTGCAAGTGATTGTTCTGTTTGGTGAGGTATCTGTTGTGTAATTGGTTGCACAACCAGTCTTGCAGTGAGCCTCTCACCAGGTAACACAACCATTCCACACAATGTTAGTTGTACATATGGAAATCCCCAACATGGCACTGCCCATAAAGATGTTTCTGTCATTTATGTAGAAGGTTAGCTCTGTAGAGGGTTACAGTTCTGGCCTGAACTTAAGGGAAGACTCTTCTTTGCACTTACTAATTGAATTCTCAAGTATCAGTTAAAACATTCTAAAATATGTGGAGAGTCTGCCGCTTAGAAAAAGCATACAAGATGTTGCACCTTAGCTTGCTGAAATTAAATGTTCTTGACATTGGTGTAATCACTCAGCTGTATGAAAAGATGTAGGGTCTATATTATCTCCAGTTGCTCTCATACTCCTGTTGGTCTTGTCCTAGTTGTCAAAGGAAGTGTGCCTATAAAAATCTGTGGATTCTAATCACTGAAAATTCAGATGGCTATAATTCTTATGGTTGTATCACCTTATTGAACATTCAACCTGAGGTGTGTGTTTTTTTAAAAAAAAACATCCCTATTGAAGTAGTATTTATATATTCATACAGTAGCTTCATTCATTTCATTTGGTCTTAACCATTTTTAAAATGGGAATTTCCAAATGTTTGGCTTGCTGTAATGAAGTCCACTTCGAGCCTGAAGTAGACATAATCAGTATCTGAATAATGCACTTTTCAGTGTTTATTTCTCCTCTCCCATCTTGCTTCTTAAACTGCTTATGTCTATGTTTATTTTATTTACGGTGTATGTTGTAACCTTGATTCTGATTTTTTTTTATTTTGTGTCTGATTCTGCATAATTGTGTTCTAAATTTGTTGCTGAAGGTTGAAATTTGATGATGTTTTATATTTTTGTGTCTTATTATTTGAGTGTAAATTGCCCAGAGTGGCCTTGTACCCAGAGGGGTGATATAGAAGTCAAACAAACAGACAGACAAATTAAAACATAAAAATACAATGTCTTGTATCCTGTTAAGTATAGCACACACTGTTCAGTTTAACATTATGACTACAAAAAAATGACTGTGGAAAAACTAGACAATACTCATGTTGACAATGAAGGAAAAAAATGGAGAATGGCAGCCAAGAAATCAGAAGAAAACAGACTTAGAAGGGCAGCAATGAAGGAAGTAGAAATGATCAAGTGTAAGAATGTATCACTGGAAACCAAGACCAAAACTATCAACACAATTGTATTTCCATTTACAATGTATGGCTGTGAAAGCTGAACAATGAAGAAAGCTGATAGGGAAATAAATGATTCATTTGAAATACAGTGCTGGTTTTGCTGATACTCTGGCCTGTCAAAAAAAGAAATAAGTCGCAAATTGAAATAAAGCCTGATTTTTCTCTGGAAGAAAAAAATGATAAAACTGAGGATGTTGTGCTTCGAGGCCATTATGAGAAGGAGGAGGCCTTTAACAAAATTCTTTTGATGCCTGTATATCAGCATGTGAAAAAGTACAATAAATTTGAATTCTATGGTTTTACATATTACAGCATAATAAAAACCATTTCGTCCAACATCAGATGAACAATAACACATGACATATTACACCATGATTTATTTTTAAAAAATAAATCCTAAAAGGAGAGGTTGTGTGTGAAAAGCTAAGTACACCTAATGATTCAGTAGCTTGCAGAACCACCTTTCGCAGCAGTAACATGAAGTAATGGTTTTCTGTATGACTTTATCAGTCTCTCACATCGTTGTGGAAGAATTGTGGCCCACTCTTCTTTACAATGTTCATTGAGGTTTACAGACATTTGTTTATGTGGTCTAGTATGACCAGATAGGCGGGATAGAAATAAAATAAATAAATAAATATGTACAGTTCTCTTAAAGTCCCACCACAGCATTTCAATCAGGTTAAGGTCTGGACCTTGACTGTTGCAATACACCTTGATTCTTTTATTTGTCAGCCATTCTGTTGTAGATTTGCTGGTGTGCTTGGGATCATTGTCCTGTTGCATGACCCAATTTCAGCCAAGCTTTAGCGGTCAAAAAGATGACTTAATATTCAACTATAGAATACTTTGGTGTACAGAGGAATTCATGGTCGACTCAATGACTGCAAGGTGACCGGATCCTGTTGCTGCAAAACAAGCCCAAATAATCTCTACCTCCATTCTGTGCATTATGGCCAAACATCTGCATTTTGGTCTCATCTGTCCAAAGGACATTGTTCCAGAAAACATGTGGTCTGTCCAGATACAACTTTGCAAACCTAAGCTGCACTGACATGATTTTTTTTAGAGAGAAGAGGCTTTCTCCTAGCAACCCTTTCAAACAAATCGTACTTGTTCAGACTTTTGCTAATTCTACTGTCATGAACTTCAACATTTCACACACTAACTGAGGTCTGTAGAGTCTGAGAAGTAACTCTTGGTTTTGTTTGTTTGTTTCTTTTTTGCAATATTTGAACTTTGCACAATCTGATCTTGGGGTGAATTTGCATGGATGTCCACTCCTGGGAAGATTGGCAACTGTCTTGAATGTTTTCCATTTGTGAATAATCCTCCTTACTGTAGAATGATGGACTTTAAACGGTTCGGAAATGTTCGGAAAGACCTTCCCAGATGGATGGACAGCAAGAATTGCTCCTCTAAGATCATTGCCAAGGTGTTTCCTCCTTGGCGTTGTGTTAATATTCACTTGAATGCTCCAGACCAACAAATTGCTAAAGCTTTGGCTTTTATAGAGTTGGTCACATTTGCTGATGATTAATTACTCAAGAGCATTTAGTTAGCAGCGCCTGGTTGCTACTTAGCCTCATAATTCCTAGGGAAGCAGCAAGGGTGTACTTAGTTTTGCACACAAGGCTTCTCAATTTTTACTTCATATTTGTTAAATAAATTATGACATGGTGTAATATGTCATGTGTTGTTGTTCATCTGAGTTTGCATTTACCTAGTTTTCAGACCTGCTAATGACCAGATTTTTTTTATTATGTCCTGATACATAAAACTATAGAATTCAAAGAGGGTCTTATTTCTTTTTCATATGACTGTATTAGTGGACTTTCAACAGTCCCTCAAGGAAGGCAAGACAAAGTAATGCAAAGGGCAGTGATATGTACCTGCGAAAGAATGTAAAAATGTAACAGAGTTTGTGGACGGAAGAGAAACTTCTGTGGGGGTGATCTGCAAAGTGTGTGTAATGTTTGGTTTTATGTTTGAGAATACCATGAGGTATAAATGCAACAAGTGCAAACCAGTTGCAGCATTGAATGATGACGGGAGAGAATTGGAGCAGTGAATAGCCATATGTTAAAGCTATCAAAGAAGACAAAGAGTACATAGAGCAGCAACAGCCAAGGAAGATGTTGAAGGTGGGAGACGAGACAAAGGACAAAGCAGAAGAAGAGAATGCTGAGGAGAGAACAAACATAGTGGAGGACGCACTGTGGAAAACCATCACAGTTAGGAATAAAGGAAGGAAAAGACACCTTTCACCAGTGAAACTGCAACACTTCTTCCAGGTTCTTGAAGAGTCCAGCCGACAGCATGCAGAGGAAGAATCATAGGAGATTATGTGTGAGTATGTGAAAGAGGGAAGCTCAGCCAAGCAGAGTCCTTGAACCCTCATCCTGCAAAAAGAAGAGAAGCACAGTTGTACTAAGAGACTCACTACCACATGGGAATGAAACCGAAAAATTCAAGGAAGATTTGTGGATCTGCCAGGTATGTTGTGTCCCTGGAGGATGGATTAAGGATGTGACAGAAGGATTGCCATCAGTCACAGAACCCATGGTGATGTTTACAAATTGTG